CTTCTTAACATGGAGAAAGCTGTTACCTTTGTATCCAACAAGTATGATGATATGCTACAAGAACACAAACAAATCAAGCAGGACATAGTTGAAGTTAAACTGGCAGTTAATAATTACAAGACAGACAATGATAGCATAAATATACTATATTCTGATAGTGTGAAGCTCATACAAAAACAGAACGAAGAAATGCGAGAGCAAGTGACGGAACTGAAGTGCAGGAGCATGGCTGACAACCTGATCTTCTCTGGAATAAAAGAAGAAAAGGATGAACACACAGAACAGGTATTGACCTCTTTCATTGGAACACATTTACACGTGCGTAAGGACATTCAGTTTAAGACTGTGCATCGCATAGGTAAACCTGGCATACCGGGGAAAATACGACCGATTATTGCCTCATTCTTGTATCGCAACGACAAATACCTTGTTAAAGACTCTGCAAAGGCTCTAAAAGGCACAACATATGGCATCAATGACCAATACCCGCCAGAAGTACTAGAGGTTCGTCGACAGCTTATGCCTCTCTACCGTAAGGCCAAAGAAGATAAAAACAATAGAGTGTATCTCGCACGTGATAGATTGTTTGTCAACAATGAACGCGTGCTCCCATCCACCCAACCTCGTGAAGCACGGACCAGTCAGAAACCGGTATAGGGATGTCAATTGCAACCGGGCCTTGAAAAGTCGGGAAACTTACGTAATAACAATGTCGACATAACCGACACCCTGAAATACTGTGCTATAAATGTTGGTGGCCTGTTACCAAAATTAAATTACCCAGAATTTGTTCAAATGATCAATAGTTACCATATTATTGGTGTTTGTGAGACAAAACTTGACAATTATGACTTACTAGACTTACCTGGATATAGTGTGTATTACAATAATAGAAAACAGTCAACTAAAGCTAAATCTGGTGGACTTGCGTTTATAATTAGTGATCTAATAAGAAAACATATACATGTATTACCTGCCACCTGCGAATATGTATTTTGGTGTAGTGTATCAAAAGAACTTATGAAAACTGATAGTGACTTAATTCTTGGCTGTGTCTACCTACCACCCGAGAACTCTCCATTCGCACAAGAGGATATGTGGGCTGAATTGACAAGAGAAGTTGTCTATCAACGATCATGTTCGGAACTGATAACTTTAACTGGTGACTTTAATGCTCGAACAGCCGAACTTGTTGACTATGTTGAAGTTGATGACTTCCTCAGCGAATATTTTGGTCTTGATGGTGTATATGATAGAGATCTTAGTGTACTAGATGTTTTCAAAACTGGAAGCATAAGCCCTAAACGGGCTAATGAAGATAAACACACAAATAATTTTGGTTACAAATTAATTGAATTATGTAAAAGTTTTAATATGTTAATTTGCAATGGACGATTTGGACAAGATAAGCATACTGGAAACGTTACCTGTAAAAACGCAAGCACAGTGGATTATTTAATATGTTCAAAGGATGTGTTTAATGTTGTTATTGACTTTGAAGTGATGGACTTTTGTAATTTATATTCAGATGTACACTGTGGTCTCTCTATATATTTTAACGTTGCCGTCACTGAAGATATGCCTCGTAGGAAGCCCAGTAAAAGAAAATGGAATCCTGAGAAGAAAATAGATTTTATAAATAATATTGATGTAACCCAAGTTGACACTATTTTATACGAGATGAACCATAGACGTGATTATGACAAAACGTTCATCAACGATATTGTGGTAAGACTAGCAGAAGTGTTCTGTTTATCATCATTACAAATATCAGATAATGTTAACAGACCTAATAATTATATACCTAAAACTGGGGATAAACCATGGTTTGGAAGAATTTGTAAAACGGCTCGAAAGAATTATCATTTGGCAAGACGACTGCATGGTAGACATAAGTCGGAGCAAAATAGGAAATCGTTACTGATTGCCAGCAAAGAATATAAGAAGGTTATGAATAAGTATATCAAACAGTACCGTTTCAATATGCAGAAAACGATGCAAAATATGCGTACAAAGTCCAGTAAAGATTATTGGAAGTTACTGAATAAATTTAAGAAAAAAACGAAACCAGAGGAAATTGATCTTGAATCTTTCTTTACGTTTTTTAAAAACATTAATACATCTCCAGAAATGGACTCTGATATAGAACTGCAAGTTGACGGAAACGATGACCATATCCTTAACCAGGAAATAACAATAGCAGAAATTACGAAGGCAGTTTCGAATCTTAAGACAAATAAATCGCCTGGAAGAGATGAAATCCTAAATGAATATTTGAAATATACTATTGATTTGTTTATCCAAGTGTATCATAAATTATTTAATATTATATTTGATACAGGCATAGTACCAGAAGAATGGCTCCTCGGATTGATCAAACCTATTTATAAAAAAGGTGATCGTAAAGATCCGAACTCTTACCGACCCATTACTCTTTTAAGCTGCATCGGTAAATTGTTTACCTCTATTTTAAGTGAAAGAATTAATAATTATCTAGAAAATAATAATTTGTTATCAGAATCACAAGGAGGATTTCGACACGGTTATTCTACTGTTGATAACATGTTCGTATTGCACTCCCTCATTGAATACCTTAGGGCACACAAAAAGAAACTATATTGTACATTTATAGATTTCTCTAAGGCCTTCGATAACGTTTGGCGCTTTGGACTCTGGCAAAAATTAATAAAAACAAATGTACAAGGTAAATGCTTCCAGATCATATTCAACATGTATCAAGGCATAAAGTCGTGTATTGTTGCTAATGGTGAAAATTCATCGTTTTTCTCTAGTGATATCGGAGTTAGACAGGGGGAAAATCTATCGCCAATCCTCTTTGCCCTGTACTTAAATGACCTTGAAGAATATCTACAACAGAAAATGTGTAAAGGTATTGATGTTATATCGGAAGTTGAAGTAGATAGAATCTGTAAAAACATTATTGTTTTGCTATATGCAGATGATACTATTATACTTGCAGATAACGCCTATGACCTTCAAAATAACATGAATGTTTTTTATGAATATTGTAAACAGTGGAAGTTGAATATTAATATTGATAAAACTAAGGTGGTTGTATTTGGATCAAGAAAAAACAATGATGTGTTTAAGATAGGCGATAATGTTGTTGAAGTAGTAGATCAATATAAGTACTTGGGTCTGGTTTTTAAACGAACTGGAAACTTCCTAGCAGCCAAGATGTCGTTAGTGGCTCAAGCTAGAAAAGCTATGCATTTACTATATATTAGAATACGAAACCTTGACTTACCAATAGACTGCCAGCTATTATTATTTGATCAAACAATCGTGCCTATATTAACATATGGTTCCGAAATTTGGGGATTTGGTAAACTAGATATGATAGAAAAGGTTCACACGGACTTCTTAAAATATATACTAAGGGTAAAAAAAAGCACACCCCACTATTTTTTATATGGAGAGCTTGGAAGAACCCCTATTACGGATTTAATTAAACAAAGAATTTTGACTTACTGGTCTAAGATAATTTATAATAAACCAACGAAATTGTGTACTGTTATGTATAATATATTATTTGCAGACTCTGGTAACCATAAATACAGCTGGCTCGAATATGTTAAAGGACTATTTGATGGATTAGGCCTTAGTTTTATATGGACCCAACAATTCATGCCAAATATAAACGTATTAAAATGTGTTATTAAACAACGTATCTTTGATCAGTCCAGCCAGACTTGGACAAGTTGGATAAACAACTCTCCCAAGGCAGTATTTTACCGAATATTTAAACATAAAATCCAGTTAGAAAATTATCTGCTGTCGCTACCCTTAAGACTCAGTATCCCGATTACTAAAATAAGATCCACAAACCATAGATTACCAATAGAAAAGGGGCGATGGGAAAATATACCACGAGAAGATAGAATTTGTAGTCACTGTAATAAACATGACCTAGCTGACGAATATCACTATCTATTAATTTGTCCTTTTCTGCATAACTTGCGTAAGCAATATATTCAAAAGAAGTACTTTACAAGACCTAGTACGATTACACTTGATATGCTACTAAATACTGAAAGTGTATTAGAACAAAGAAAACTAGCACAGTTTGTAAAAGAAATCCTCAAGATGTTTAATTAAATTTATGAGTCTGTTGCAGTTAAACGTATAGTTGACGCACGTCCGTCTCCTGCCTCGTGTCACCATAAATTTCCATTTGTACCTTCAATATGTCATAGCTATGACCTTGAAGCGAAATAAACGTTTGTTGTTGTTGTTGTTGTTGTTGTTGAAGTGACGAACGAACGCTTTAACCACTGGATTTGGATTAACAGAAACAGCAACACTTTTAGATGCTTCCCGACGTATTCGTATATCTGCCAAGCATCAGAAGGGGCATCAGCATCAGCCAATAAAAACATTTGTCACACATCGCTGCATCGTTGCGCTTGTAGCTTTAGGCCGCACTCCCAAATAGTTTTGTTTGGGAATCTAATTACGGAGCGAATTAACCACATACTGTATGGAATCAAACAAACGCTAACTAAAGTAAAAAGGAACTGAATGAAGTAGTGGTAAAAGCGTTCCTTATATACAAACAATAAACAAGCTGTGTATAGGCAGCCTAAACAAAATTTGTTTTTCCTTTGGATATGTAAAAATATACAAAAAATTGTATGTTTTTGGATATAATGGATGTTTAAAACAAACTGAGCTATAGCATTTCTTTTTTGTTCCAAGTGCAATGGCAGAAGGTATCAGACCTGGCGTACTTTTACCTTCCGGCTATCGAAGTGATTTAAAACGATGGAGAACATTGTTTAATTGCTTTTGTTTCTGATTAACCAAAGCTGAGACCATGCGAAGCGGAAAGCAGGAAAGCGACAGAGCGAGAAATCGATATCCCCTCTCGGCCACCATAGTCAGCTGCCATCTGTGACCTGCTCTAACAGGTTACATACATATATATTTTTTCGCCACATACAACTTGGCTTCAGTAGGTTGGAAGCTGCACACTAGACATGTCAAAACTAGAAGAGGTCAAGAAGGAGATTGCCAAATACGACTATGTTCGTTTTTCTCTCTGTGACTTGAACAGTGAATATCGTGGTCAAGTTGTTGCTGGTCGCCATGCTGCCAAGTACCTGGAAGAAGGGATTGATATAGCTCAAGGTAACCCAACATCATTTACTGGTTCCGATTCTCAGGTGGACTATAAGGATAAACAACACTTAGCGCGAGTCAAAGCTCAGATTAAAGGTTAAAACGTCTAATTAAGGAACAATTAATGATAAGCGTGCCAGGTTTTATATGTACGTAAGGTAATCATTACAATGCATATGCATGTGTTCTTGAAGGAAAACATCTAGTATATTCAGATAATTATGAACAGTATCAGAATTTCAACATGTTATCTCTATTTTAATATAAAAAAATCATTGCATCCTTTTGGATCGCAAAATGGTATGCTAAACAGTTGTCATTTTATGCATGTGATTTTTTAACCCGTATCTTTTACGAGGAAATTAATTAAGAATTCTTTAAACTTGTGTTAATAATACACCAGTTAATACAAATCTCTATATGAATTATTCCACCTGTAGAGTGTCAAAGTCTGTTTAGTTAGTTTTGACCATTTCACCCAAATCTAATCGGTTAACTATATTTAGAACAATCTCTTTTCATTATTGAGAAAGTCAGAATTAATTTGTTTGATGTTTTATATAATATAAAATAACATCAAAGTTAATACTAACTGATATCTCAACATCCACATGTGATCACAAGCCAAACATGTAACCGGACAGGTGAAAGGCACAGCTGTAAGGGCAGATGTTATTAATCATTTTTATTTTCAACAGTAAAGAGGTGAAATGGAGTTTATCAAGGATTTTTGCATTTATATAGCGACGTGCATGCACATTTGTGTATGTGCGTGGTTGCTTCTACTAATCCGGACTGATGCCGAATTTTAGTGCTAGCCCACTGAGATAGCAGGCCGCACAACACCCCACTCAAACACAGAATACTGACTCCGAGCCGACTAGTCCTTGTTTTAGTCTCTTAATGCCGAGCCCCTTGCCGAGCGCCAGACGTTTTAACGTATTTTGGTATGATGGGGCCAGGGATCGAACCCCGGAGCTTCCGCTCCACCGGCCGATGCTCTACCACTAGGCAACGGAGGCGGTCTTTATGAGTAAGCAATATGATCCCCAAAAATGTATGCATGATCAACGACCAGGATAGATTGAAAATAAAGTGGACACTCAATAACTCAAAGTGACGTGTAACATCGAAATGCATGATATTATCAGTACTTTGAAACAAGAGGATCGATATTTGAGCATGGAGCTTATAAAGAAAAATGTATTCACCTTAATGTTAAATTGTCTTCATGGAGTCTCCTATTTCTTTCACAGTCATGTAAATATGTGAATAGATCAGACTATTTCATACAAGACGAAAATGCTCCAGTTTTTGTGTCAAAATAAACATAGTATTGCTTAACCAGTGTTGCCACCGGTGGGGCAGGATATGCTCACCTTTTCGCGAACAGCGGGTATCATGGTAATTGATAGTGATTCATAAACACATGCTCATGAAATTGTCTCCTTTAAGCAGAGATTTGTGATAATTGTTGAACGCATTTACAAATGTGACATGTGGTTTTGTGAGATGATTTACTAACAGGGATTAGAAGAAAGTTAAAGATATGACTTGCCGGTAAATGGGAATTGCTGGTGCGGGGCTGTCGGGCTGCCGCGTTGTTGATTGGATAGAGCAGTGTGGCAAAGATAGTGGATGGCGTTTGCTGCCTGTAAGGCAGGCCAAGCTTACCCTTGTCTCGAACACCTGGTGTCATTACTGTCAGTGGTCCTTTCATAGAATTTTGCCCTATATTCTCTTGCATTGACGTGTTATATTTACTTGAACGTGGTCGATGTTTCTGCCGATGGACTGAAGTCCCCGAGTTTCATCATAAGCTCTGCAGCATATATCTATGCTGAGTCAACAACAAAATAAAACATTTGCCCCAATGTGTTGCTTTTTTCTAAATGTTTGTCTTTTACTTATACGCAGCAGAGTCTCTCCTCTTGTACTCAAAAGTTGTAATTAAAAAAATTAATCTGCCGTTTTTATTCGTTTCAACAAAATCCGTATTTGCACTTTCGTGTTGCTGGATTTTCTGGTCTATCGATGAGATGTTTGTCTGGTTTGTTTACAGAAGCACTGCTGTGCGGCGTCAGGCAATAAATACTTCAAAGTGTGCAAAAAAAATCCATATATACAAGCTTGTATACCCTTTTTGAAAGCTGATATTTCCAAAGGATATACAAGATTGGAATGATGATATATACAAAAATATACAAGTTTGTATATACGACATATACAAAAATATACAAATTTGTATATATGGTATATCCAAATTTGTTTTCTTTGTATATATTGGTAAAGGAAGATAATTGTTATGTATTTGTGTATAATTATGATATATATATGCAAATTGAAGTGTTTAAAGTTGAGCACTGTGTTTCTTTGTATATGTTTGTAAAGGAGGATAATTGTTTTGTATGTGCAAAATAGTATCAGCAAGTTACAAAAAAACTGATATAGTGGCGTGTAACATTACTGGAATGTTTAATTAGTACTCCACACTGTTAGCGGGAGTACATACTCTCCTTGCAATGATATTGACGGGTAAGCGATTGAGGCGTCTGGTACTTTTCCTGGCGCGGTGCTTGGTATGTGAGTAGACTTTAAGGTCAAATGCACAGACAGGATTAGCTGTCGGGGGTGATTGCATTGGCGGTGACTTCTGTTTTGAAAGTGTTGAAATCTATTTGTGCTGAGCTTGGATTCGTTTGTACGGGGAGGCCGCGATGTCATTTGTAACATGCTCTCGTGCACATGGCAGATTAGCCAACAGTGTGGATTGCACAGAGGATGAAAACTATTTTATTATTAATTTAAAGTGTTGAATTTGGTTTGTTCTGAGGTGTCGGTTTAATTGTATGGAAAACATTGTTTAGGTGGAACGCGGAAAATCGCGTTTTTTAAAAAACGGCAGTCCTTGGAAAAATCCTCTTCAAAATATAATGAAAGATATTTTTTTTTAAATACTCCGAAAATATCGTGTTGCCGGACAACCGTTGCGGATTGTCCTGTTTTCGAGTTTTCAGCCTCAAACATGCCTTTATTATTATTCATCACACAATCATGGGATCATTTCCGGACATCATACGTTTCTATCCTGAATACTTGCACTATAACGGGAGGGGGGGGGGGGGGGAGGCGTCACACAGAAATTGTTAATAATCAAATAATGACTTTTTTTATGTTAAGTTGTCTTTTATAAGTGAATGAGATGTTTTACAGTTGTTCATGTGAAAAAACTATGAATGTTTATTCAGCGTCCGAAAACCCTTAACACGGGGATATATGTTGTATTAATGATTTATGTTTTACAAAAGATAATAAGTACAAAGGTATGCTTTTCTCAATATGCTTCAACATGGGGAAAGGGACATTGCACATTTGTGAAAGTATTGCTCCCAGGTTGCGTCCTCGTCCACTAATGCCTACATCCACTAATGCCTACGGCCTACAATAAACCAAGTCATGCACCAGTGATTTTCAGCGACACCTACTATCAGTGCATCATTTCTGCATCATTGCATTAGTTCTTATAGTATATACACCAGCAGATATTTGATGATTTCAAAGAAATTTCAAAGAGTTCATTTCTAGCAGGGGTATGTTGTTTTCATTGTGTAGGATTTATTCCACACTGTTTTATTTATTTGTAGGCAAAAGTGGACTTAGGCATTAGTGGCTGGAACCCAGGTGGCCGGGTGCGCAGAAACTATTCCCGATTTTTTAAAAGTACTGATTTAACTCCGAAATTTTACATCCGCCATCTTTGGTTTTTTTTACTGTTGCCACTGTTACATTTGTTGGTATGAATATTGTCCAGACGGCACAAAATTGCTTAAAATGCAATCAAATGTTCAAAACATTTCTTGGGGCTCAGTCTAATATTGTTAGCAAACTACGACCATAAATGTAATGTACAACAGGCGCAAGAAATTTTTTTAAAAATCTTACAAATACAAATGATAAGAAGTAGAATATGAATACTTATACCTGTACTTTTTAGAACAAGAAATTGACACATTGTCGTATTTAGATTAAATTGATATGTTCTTTACTTATGTAAATGCAAATGAAAAAAAAATAATTAACAGTGAGATACTATCGCTATTGTGCAAAGCATCCAGTCCCAATGAAAGTGAACAGCATGCCGATGTTATACAAAGCAATCATATAACATATCGCGACTGATAGTTCTAAACAATCAGGCAATCAACATAATGACGGTATCAGTGGGCACATCGTGATATTTGAAGATAAAAAATGATAACACATGTCATCAGTCTGGGAGTAATACACAGCATCTTGACAATGAACAAAAAGAAGAAGAAGAAGAAGAATAGTTTATTAAAGTGTCACTATTTTAACAACCAACCATTTTGGCTTTTGAGACAAAATACGCATTTCTTCTGGACGGTAAGGTTGCGATGGCGTATCCCGTGGACTCGGTTACGACTCTTCTAAAAAAAACAACAACTTTATTTACAATTGCATTTCAAATTTATGATGCATATGTATGTATGTCCATGTATATGCTCATGAGCAATGGAGGAGAATATGTGAAAATCAAATTCAAATTTATTCCGATAACCCTTAAGCAACGTGTCAGTATTATAGCTTGATGTATTAGAACAACACTATTTGGGAATGCCAGTTGCTACTGGTAGTGTTGGGTATGCTTACCCTTTTTGAAGATTCACTCTTTGTAATTCGACATCAAACGGATTACATCACACTCTGAGTAAACAATCTCATTTAACCCTTAATTAGTTAATTAATCTGCAGTATATTGTATCACTTAGTATTGCCTTAACGAGGAGTAATCCCTTGTCAGTTGTTGGTGAGTGATCAATTTATGTCTGGAGAAAGGGATTAGCCTTACTCACAATAAATTAACATTTCACACTGCAACAGAAGAGATTATCGATCATTATGCCTTTATAAGAAAGTGAGAAAGATAAAGATTGAATGATACATAACGGGCCGTGCCTGTACATATAGCCTGCAAGAATCGTCACTGT